ATAAATAGGAATAAATACTTATTTATCTATAAATAATATCGTACTTAAGGATAGCCTATTTACTATAGAATAGGGCCGGAGAACGAATCGCGATTAGCCTACGAGGAGTATAGAATAATACTTAGCTACTAGAGGAAGATAATAGAACTTACTAAGAGTAAATACGATTTAGTAGTATAGTAAAGTCCTAATTCTTACCTATTAAGATAGCGAGTAGTCCGATACGTAAGCGAGTCGAGCGCGATACTAACTCGTATACGACTTATATACGAGGTCGCGATAGAAATATAGATATAAATAAAGGTCTTAGAAAACGAAATAATAGTAAAGACCTTAATATTAATAATATAGATAAACTACTATATATCGTACGCTATAGGACTACGATATATATACGTATCGTATACTATACTTTATCTAAATTAGTTCCTCGAGGACGAGGAACCTAGGAAGGAGGAGATAATATTAGGAACGAATAAGCGCTACTAAGCGAACGTCGAGATTCTAGTATATAAGAGCTACTTATCGTATACGGGTCTTAGGGGAACCTTATACTTTAAGCTTACTACGATAGATACGTTAAGGTATTACTTATAATTAAGAGATAGATCTAATATTAAGACTATTTACACTACTCTACTAGTAGTCCTACCTATTAGTACGAGTAGTGCCTAATAAATAGAGCCTACGATAGTTATAGGTATAGTAGTATAAGAGCCTTTAACCGTATATAGGTAAGTATATACCTCGTAGAGGAAAATAACGTACTTGTTATGAATCGAACCGGGCGGCCCGGGAAGGGCCCCCATGCCATCGATCATTCTGGGTTCCTTAACGGGGAGGTAGGAGGTATCTCATATAGTGAGTCTTATTGTGAACCCTAGGGGTCCGACTATATCTTAAGTTGACCACGAAGGTCCTATCTGATGTTGGTGAGAAGAGCGTGCTTATATAGACCTTCGTTTCCTGCCAAGCCTCTGCTGGCTCTGTCCTGCTCTGCTGGCTCTCCCCTGGATCCAAGAGATCCATGAGATCCATTCCTGGTCACGTGACGTAGCCTCGTTCTCCATCGGCTAACTTCCTTTCTTTGGGTACAGGTGCCTTGACTCCCTTGGCGACCTTTCAAGTGGCCTGGTCCGTAACAGTACTCTTTCAAGGTATTAGGTTCGATGCCTAAACTTAGCTAGTCGATTCTCGTAGCTATCGTAACGCGTTTTTCTAGGATTTAAACGCGTTAATAACTATAGGGACTAATTAATATAAGCTATAGGTAGTTTAAAGCGGTAAATTTACGCGTTTTTTAGAAATTTAGTTCGAGCTAGAGGTAGTTGTTTTAAGTATATTCCTAGGTAGTGTTACGCTGAAAACCTACCTTTAATCTTCCCCTTATAACCGCCCCCTCGCTGCTTTACTCACCCTTATCTGTCCTTCTACTTCCTGAGCAATCCCCGAGTGCTCCCGGAGCCTACCTAAGCATATGGTACTCCCTGGTCATCTTCGTTCACAACACTAATATTGGTTAACTTTAAACGATGGGATCCATTCGAGATGCTAGGAGATCCTAATGTACCCCCTCCTCTACCCCTTCTAATGTGCTCGAACCACTTAGCTCCTCCCGTAATGATAAAGCCCCACCTATTTCGTTAGAAGGCTTAGAGGAAGGTAGGGATTCTTGCAGCCCTCCCAAATATAAATATGCCGTCTCTCACTGGTGAAATACTCTCCTTTTACTTAGGAATTATAGACTAGACTTTCTACTAGAACGGAGCTTGTTGTACTTAGTACGGCCTTAACTCACTAGATTGTCAGGAAGTACTTAGTCAGCAGTGCCAGCCAAAATATAGTACCATCTAGCTTACACAATGCAGGAGAGATTTCCGAGTCTCTCCAAGCGTTGAGTCTCTATAAATAGCACTTATTTAGGATGTATTGTGCCCATCTCTTCGATTTCTGACAGGCGGACGCTAAAACTAATACAGCTTATATAGATTGAGGTCCTCTCTAATACTAAGTATACTAAGTACTACTAAGAATATTATATAACCTAGTCTCTTAGTTCTTGGTAGTCTTTCTCCTTAGTCTCCGCCTAGGTAGGTCATCGTGATTCTTAACATGAATTAAAAGCCATCTGAGACCCTTTTTACGACTACCAGCACCTACTAGATTATTGAAGTAGAAAAATCTGAACTAGACTGAATTTAAACTGATTATGATCGTATTACCAAGTTATGCTTAAGTATTCCAACGGTATTCTTACGGGAGTCGGAGACAACGACATTCACGTCATTAAATCCAAAGAATGACATTAGCCAAAAATATCTCCAACAGCGGTCAAACCGACCCATAGTCTTTTGATAGAAGTTTTGCCTGATCTTGACACTCATGATCGCCTTGGGATAGAATATATATAGCTTCGTCTAGACGCATGATCGTACTCCCCACCGCGCCTTTATGGCTGGCAGAAAGTATCAATACCTTAGCCGCAAACTTGAAGGCTGATGCGGTTGCGTTCCAAGGAAATCCTTGATTTTCCCTCAAGACAGCTCGGGCTCTTGAGTACAAGTTTCCAGCCAGCTGTTTGGATTTCAATATGTCCTTCTGTACCCGGTGCAAATAGTGGAGGAATTGATGGAAACACAGAAAAGTCCGCCAGTGCGCTTGTCCAAATTGACGTTGTGCATGAAAAATCAAATTTTCATAGTCAGCGGTCAGACTCGAGAAGAGCGTTAAAACGGGATCCCAACTTTCAAGATAATTCGTCATCATCTGTGGTATTGTGAAGTTTTGAGCTCCAAAGCGATACTTCAACTGCTGAATAGACATCCAGTAACCCATTCGCAGAAGGGGAATGATTTCCTCACATGGTGCAGTTGCGAAAGTCCGAATTAAATACTTCAATGGAATAATCTGTGGAGGGTCCGTTGAAGATGTCTGTGACAGACTCTGGAAGAGAAAGTAGAGGGTTCTATCCCCAGAAGCCTCACTTGCGTCCCAAAAATTCCGGCAAATTCTCCAGAAGTAGATTAAGGCATTGGCTTCCATGATCCCTTGGAGAGCAGGCGCAATACCAGGAAGGATGTTGGTCTTCATCTCCAAAATCCGTTCCAATTTTCCTGTCCTTGCAATTTCAGGAAGGCCGGACGATCTTGCTTAGTTCGTGCTAGCTAGTATTTTAGTCTACCCCCGGCTCAAGGGAGATCAGATCAAAATGTCTTACCATGTCTCCAATGCTGACAGATTCGCAGTCAATATAGCCCTGTACAAGTTGGCAGACAATCTGTTCTCGCTTGAAAATATTCATTTCATTCATTCCGCTTGGTACAGGGGATATTGCCAGCGGGACGATCGGTCTTGATATAGTAGGTATTGCTGCATTTATAGTACTCCTACTGCCCCTCTTTGTTTGGAATTGTGCGATGGGTAGTGACACTTCTGAAGTCCCCGATCTCTTAAATGATCGGCAAGCGTTCTTTTACTGTTTCTGGCTTAGCTACAAAGTATATCAACACAGCAGCTAAAACTCACGTTGCCATAAATCCGTAGACAATTTTCAAAATACTGATAGCCTCCTCATAGCTCCTTCTTTTCCTCAATAACAAATCGGCGTATATCATTTCTGTACACTTCCCAGCACTCAAAGGAGGGACTTGCAACCAAAGTTACCGAGGGAGAAGACCGAGAATCATGTTGCTCCATTTCGTTTAAACCAGCATAATGTTGAACTTCTCACTCTGCTTTGCCGATGTTTGTCGCCTCCGCCGCGCGAGACTAATGTATCTTCTGCACGAAGACCCTCTATTGCCGGCGTGCTGGTCATTTATCATCACCACATTCTGACACGGTCAATTGCAAGTTATTGGTTAGATTATCCGTAAGCTTTTCTTGCAGGACTGTTATCATCCAGGTGCATGAAAATCGTAGGGACTGGAACAGAAGAGTTATAGTGCAGGCGAAGTTATTGGTTGAATTGTACGAACTGTCCCTCTGCAGTTTGAGACAGCCTGATCGCCGATGGCTCAGCATAGAAAGAGCGACCTAAGCAGCTCATCCGAAAGCTATAAGGTCAACTATCTGCCCTTCCATGTTGGCTATTCTTACCATTTCCTTTTCTTCAGACAGGAAGAAGGACTCTCAACCTCAGCCTGCTGTTTGTATGTCATACTCTCGGCATTCTCTAGCAATTCCGACACCAAGGTATGCCACATCATCGATTCGTCCCTTTGAAGCTCCTAGCCATGACAGATGATGCCCTTCACTGACTAAGGATATAGGAAGACTTCCCCTCAACCTCAAGCTTCAACCCGGGAATGATATTTATCCAATTGTTGCTATAAGTCTTCGGATAGCACAAGAAGTTTCCGCGCTCCTTTTAGAAGGCCGAGATGGATTCACTTGTTGAAAGTTCTGTGCCTCCAACGAGATTGCCCGCTGAAGGCAAAGAGTGCCTAAAGCGTCGTGAAAATTTCCAATCTGAATTTGTGCTAGACTGTAAGGACAATAAATGCGGGACATGCATTGGCTATGAAATCAACTGCAAACACCGCCCGGAAATGTGCGAGAAGATCAGACGTCATATGAAAGAAACTGGGCGACTACTCACTGAAGAAGAGGGGCACATGTTCTTCGAGGAACTCTTACCTAAATTCGAAATACCAGTCACCAGGCTTCCAAACTCCGAAAAGTTGAACCAGAATCAATTCGAGGCCCCAGTCAGGTAAGAATTCACTTGTTCCACTTCCTGTTTTACCTCATCATCAGACCCTCTCCTTTCCTTTCTACAGCCTTGAGCTGACCTATGCGCATATAGTCATGCATATCATCGAGGACCGAGTGGAACGAGATCTCTTGTCGAAGCCCACATGAAAAATGAAGATTGGAACGCTGTTTACGAAGCCATCAAGAATGATCCAGTAAGAGGTAGGGGAGGAGAGAAGTTTCCGGGACGGAGACGGGAGGGGGCCACACAATTTGCCCAAGTTTTTGGGCATGAAAACCAGCCTTTGAGCAAAACCGACAAGGACAGGAGTATTGAGACACAAGGGCAGCCTTCGATCTTGACTCCGGTCCATGCGGCACGTAATCTACCGGACACACCTGACACAGCGAAATATTACAACCGGAAAGATACCAAGCAGCAAACTCAACGAGTCAAAACCTCCAAGCAGGTGCAAATGCACCTGCCAGGCATGCTTGGGGCCGTGGAGAATACGTGTGCGTCGTTTCGAGAGAGTACTTTCATTGGATTTGGGAATCTTGGCTCACTTGTCTGGTCCACTGGAGTCCTTTGTGGAACTGGCGGCATGTTCACCATCATCATCCAGGCACCTCCAGATGGCAGCGGTCCTCCAACAATTAAGCCTTCATTTGCGGTGGTCCTGTAATAGCATACCTCCACGTGACTACGTTGTCTGTGGCTCACTGGCGCCGCCGGGCTCTTTAGTGAAGGTGCCTGCCAGGTTCCTGGATGAGGTCTGGAACAGGTGCCCGACTGAGACGCAGGTTTAGCCGATTGCCAAGGGGGACCCTGTTTGACCTCTCCTTGTGCTTGCTCAGGGAGTTCTCATTAATGGCTCAGTTAAAACTCAGCTTAAAGCGGCCTTTGCTCACCCTCTAGGATCAAACCGTATATGGCAATTAGGTTTTTGGTTCGCGAGCAATATAGGTAGCTCGCGCGAAAAGCCTGTTATCCACCGTCCCGTGATGATTAGCCGCTCGCCGCTGTGCTCACCCTCAGCTTACCTGCTGCTTCCTGAGCGCTCACTGAGCACTCAGGGTGTCAACCTGAGCACCTTTAGTTCTCCTCCCAGAAGGAGGGATCGAGCTGCGCTTCCACAGCAGGCACGAGATGCGTTAAGAGTGGGCGAGAATTGCGCTTTGAAGTATTGTTAAATCACTCGGCCTGTCCGTGCGAGTCCGGACCTCCTGCACCACTCTAAAACCGGATGCAATCCGCGTCAATCATACAGGCATTCCCTCGTATCCTGAGGAGGCTGAAGAACCAGTGTCTTTTCAGACGACGTGGGCTTAGGAAGGAAGAGCTCGAACCGATTGTATGTCGGCGAACGCCTGCAATCACGAAGCTCGACAAATGGGGCGTAGTCGAGCAGGTCGCGGCACGTCCTAGGGGTGTCGCCTCGTGAGCAGCAAAGGATCCGAGACGAGCAGGGGCCACGAGAGCTTCATCGAGAAGCGGTGACAAAACGATCAATCTAAGCTGATGCGTCCGTGTAAAATCTCAGATAGAATGCATCCATCTAGAAGTTTTGGTATCCTCGATTTGCGATGTATTGTGTTTGCTAACGCTTGCCAAAGAGTATCCCGCCTACTGTGGAGACAGACTCTGGGATTCGAGAGGTAGTGAGTCTCGACATTTCACCAAGGTCACACAACCCCAGGAATGCTGCTTTCTGGCTTTGATTCTATTAATATACAACCATTATACGACCATATAAGATAGTCTCATACTCCAGACTGCCCGATTCTCCATCAGTTCTATGTCTCAGGCTTGCTTGAGGTACCAGAAACGCGTCAACAGGAGGCTTTCATCAAGGTACGAATCACCACCAGGTCAAGGGTTGTATCCTTTGGGATATGACCAAACGCCTTCCGGCATTACCACCTGTCACCTGAGACGTGGTTATTCCGCGTTAGCGAAGGGAATCAAAGCCACGATCGCAGGGGCAACGACAATACCCTTCGATTTAGAGTCCTCGGAAGAGCTTGCAATGAATATCTCCTCGTTCGGCAGTAGGAGAAGATTCTCCATTTTCATCCCAAGATCCTCGGGCTTGTACTCCACCACAGCTGGCATCAGGCATATCTCAACTTTCTGACCGACGTTGTCCAGCGTTCGTCCCAATTCGTCAACCATCAAAGTCGGCACTGTGGTGGAATCAATCGAAGGGCTATATAATTCATACAGGCGCTCAGACAGTCCCATTCTTGCCTTGAGTTTGAGACATGTCGCGAAGGTTCCGGCCAAGATCTCCTTCCACGGCAACATCTCGGCCTGTGACCCGAGTCCGTTTGCAGCATTGGCAGCGTCCGTTACCATGCTGTAAAGCAGCTCCAGCAGCTGTTCAGCAAGGCTGTCAGCCTGTTCTGCGATTGCGGCCGCAAATTGTCCATTCGGATTCTCGACCAAAGACTGTAGGTTCTTCCTGCGAAGGTCGCGGAGAATCTGTACACCATCTGTAATAGGTCAGCAAACTCCACAATATGACATGTAGGAGTGGTAAAGGCCCTCTTTCTTAAAGCTCAGGCTTACTCATCTGCAATACATTCCTGCAAAGCATCTCATATAGCAGTTCTGTCACCGACTGTGGTCTCGTCGACCGCGGCTTGAATATCAGGTTCATCAGGACCGCAGACAGCAACCCCATCAACATTCGAGCTATTTTTGTCCCCGAGCGGACAGGCTGCGAGATGAGAGCATTAAAGCGGTCTCGAAACAACGGCCCATGATCAGCTTTGAGAAGTCCTTGAAGATCTAGCCCGCTGCCTTGAGCCAGTGTTTTCTTGACCTTGGGGACACAAAGACCAACACTTAGCAGCGAGTACACGACTTGTTGAATATCCAACGCTGACCGTTCCAGCACCGCGGTAATTTCCTTATCAGCTGGTCCCCAAAAGAATTCATTGTCTCTCGGCATAGCGAAAGGACCCAAGGCGGGGTTCTCGTGGTCAGAGTGAAGAGGTGACTGCATGGTAGGAGACTTGTTCGCCTTTATGTGAAGGTCCAGCAGGTTCATTGCCCGAGCCAAGTCGTTTTCGGGATCAAGCGCATTCAGGCTCACCTTAAACACACTGACTTCTGTACACTCGTCACATATGTGTTTTTCTGGTAGGTCTTCGTCCACTTCGGTATTGTAGTAGCAAATGGTATGCTGCCACGAAAAACACTCGTCGCAATGGATGCAGCTAATGTGATGTGTGAAGCCACATCGACAAAGTATAGGATCGACTGAATTGTCACGGACAGTTGATCTCTGAGATCTCCGGAGCGTCTTGGGTGATATGGGGACGTTTGTCCTTGACAGATATCAGTTAGCACAAACACGGGGAAGGTTGTCGTCTTTCCCCTACATCTGCCGTCTTTTCACTTCTTCCGCGATCTCATTAAGCATACCTGGAAAACCCTTATCTGGGTCTTCAAGGCCTGGTAAAGTCCGTAGGAAAGCCCCATACTGATAGAGCGCATAAGGCCGCTTGTCGCCGTCTGCGCTCCCGAAGTCCTTCCAAAGGGAAGCAAGCTTCCTCTCTAGCCTCGATGTCGAGCCTTGGAGTTTAACTGATTTGCTGAGCAATGAAGTTGCTTTAGATATGACGACTTTCATTTCGTCATCTTTTGGTCGGTCTGTCCGAGGAGAGACCTCCGCGATGTGCTGATTGAGGGTACACAGGAGCTCGAAGACTTCCTCCCGCGTCCATCGTGTGGTGCTCTTGGCTGTTGCTATTGGAGCTGGGGAGCTCATTGCCGGTTTTCGGACTATGGAAACTTGACGTGTCTATGCCAGGCTGATTCTATCAGGTTGAAAGGGTCTCGACTAGATTTGAACACTGAAGTCGGCAAGCTGTCTGACCGTCAAGCCAAGTACGCATAAGTGGATTTCGGTCGTACGTCGAGCAACGATGATTTCGAACACATGGAGGCTTTCTGCAAGGCAACTGTCAAACCCTTAGGCAACAGATTTGGCCGGTCAGTCATACATATGTTGCTCGTGCCCTGCAATGTGCAACAAAGACTGTCGAATCCCTGCATATTCTGCAATCAGTACAAGGAAACTAGTTTTGAAGTGGTAGACGCTAAGAGCCGGGCCGTCACCGCCGGAAAACTTGCAGCAGCCCCGTCAAGTGCAGTCCAATCGTTCCACCTTCCCTGCAAGAAATTGAAACAACCCTCTGCACTGGCGCAAGGCAACCGAGACGTGGCACCAAAGGCAGTAAGAGTCCCAGGAGGGTCGAAGATGAGGCTGAGAAAAAGTAGCTGAGCGTATAGTTCGCAACAAAAGTTTTTTCGTTATCCTAGTGATTCATCAACCTTAATAGATTCGAACAATGCTGCGGTTGTGTTCAATTTCTTGACACTGGAGACGACTAATCTTATGGATTTACCCTTTCGTGGCCGTGACCTGCTCCAACCAAATGACAATGAACCTGTGCAACTCAAGGCTGGTCTGGACTTCGGAACAACTTTCACTTCAGGCGTGCTTTGCTGCAGAACACATTCCACAAAATGGCTCCCGGCCCCTACCCCAAGAGCATTTCAAATGTACCAAGGAGCCCCCGGCATTTTGAAAAACCAGCCAAACACAGAAGTGCCGTCATGCGTTCGGTATGAACAGGGTCGCATCAGTACCGGACACGATGCGGAGAGTCGGGACGAGAATGACTGGGAGTCCGCAGTCGAGACTATCAGGTGGTTGAAAGTCGGTCTGGATGATCAACCTGCGCTGGAGAACATGCGAGAAAAGGTGTTGCAGAGCTTGCCATCGGGTATGCCAATTGATTCGGTAATAGAAGACTTCTTGAGCGAGATCTTTGCAAGCTGGCGGCTGGAGATCGAAGACCTAGAATTTCCACCAGATGCCATTATTGAGTTGAACTGTGCCGTACCTGCGGCATGGAAAACAACAAAATCTCGCCTCAGGTTTTCAATGGCGATACTAGCCGCTGGAAAACGAGCACGTCTCAATATACATCCCAATATCCGATTCTGGCCTGAGCCGATCGCTGCCGCAGCATATATGCTTCAGAAAGCCTGGAACCTGAAACGTGACTTGAAGGTACTTGCCTCGTAGGACCCAGTACTTCCCGGACTTTACTAAGCAGCTGACCAGGTCAACGATATCGTTGCTGTTTGCGATGCAGGAGGTGGCACTACAGTAAGGCTTTTCGCCTGCGATCAGTAAAACCGAGCCTAAAACAATCTCAGGACATAACCTTGCTCCGAGTCTTGAAAGTCGACCCGCCCGAATTCAAAGAGCTGGCAACAGATGGTCAGTATATGTTGATACCTCAGACCACGTACAGACGTACAGACGTCCTGAATATGTTGAAATTATTACAGGGATACCGTACGGATCGGAAAATCTTGATCAGAATTTTGAAGTTCAGATCGACACCCGGATCAGGATGGCGGCAGAATGCAATCCCGACTGGGAACCGCCATCAAATGATGCGATAAAACACGTTCTGAAGGTTTTCAAGACACGCGAGAAACGAGAATTCGATGGAAACCAGGGACACTTTCGAATTCGGCTTCAGGGTTTACCTGCAGATCCTCAACGGCGATTCGAAAAAGATCGTATTGACAATCGCAGGTATTGTATTTTCTCAGACTGGACCAGCAGCATTGACCTTCAATAGTGAAGATTTACGGGCAATTTTTGATCCGGTGCTGGACAAAATCTGGAGCCTTCTTCGGCGCATGCTCGAGGTGCAGTCTCTAGAGGAGGCCTTTGTGAAGGTCTGAATTTCCCCAACCTACTATAGCAAGTCGTAATGATTTCGTATTAACCAGATACCTTAGGAACTGCTCTTGGTCGGCGGCTTCTCCGGCAATAAGTACCTCCAAAAATTTCTCACGGAAAAGTTGCATTCATGGACGATCGAACACAGGAAACCAAAGATCAAACTTTGTCCCATTACAAACCCGTGAGAGAATCTTCCATGGAGGATTGTGAACTGCTGACATGTGAGAGTGATTATGCCATCGCTGAGGGCAGCATTTACTGCTCTTCAAAAGAAATCAACAGGATCCATCGCACCAATCAATGCAGCATTGGCTTACCTCAACAACAAGGATGGTCGAAAGGGAGACCGGGTCATCCAACCCAACGGCCTGATCCTGATCCTCTCACTGGAGAATATCTGGTCAGCGACTGCATGGTCTTCCCTAGCAAAAGGGTGGGTCCGATTTATGCTCTGCTTTTGGCCGCTTCTAGATCACGTGTGCTGATTCGTGCTTCTCAGGGTCACGACGTTGCTGATACTGAGCCCGTTGAGCTCCTCAGAAGCTTCCACCCCGACCAGAATATAGTCCCAATTGAAGTCAAGTTGTATAGCGTCGACAACGATGGCGAGGACAACTATCCCTTGGATCACCCAAAAAATAATGGTAAAAATCAAAATTTTACGCAAACTCAATTTGGAATGCTGACGAAATGTTATTTAGGTTATCAGCTATGGGTGATCGTTAACTTCGAAGTTGATGTATCGTCATTCAAGGACAAGCTCGTGACATGGACCGAAGACAATCCGCAGCCGGGTTTCGCACGAATCAAGTCCCGGATCAAGAGCACTGATGGCTCCAATGGGGGACCACGGCAGTCAGAGCGAGTGCGAAAGCTAACAGAAAAACAACGTCTTCTACAAGGCCAGCAGTCCCGCAAAATCACCGGACAGGGCAAAGGCAAGGCTCCTTTATTGCCTCTAGTTTCTGAGCAAGTTGACTTGCCCTCTACTGTCCACGAAAGCGGCAAAACAGAGCTAGCACATACGCAAGACGATGGCTACCTTCAATGGAAAACTCTTAGTTTCTTTTTCTCCATGAGGCATGAGGATGGTATGCAGACGCATTATATACTTGAATGTCCGATGGCACCGCCTGGCGAAAGGAAGACGGAAGGTGTTGCAAGCCTGACTTGGATGCATGAAACGGGGACGTGCTGAAGCCCTTCTTGTAGATTGGTACTAATGGATAGAGATCTCACTGCTTGATTGGCTTCGTATAGTACTCGAGAAAGACAAGACCTTTCGGCCGCGGTGTTCAGGGAGTCCACGGTCGGATCTTCTTCATCACGCCATGGAATGTCGGTCGCGGCGCAGAAGCCCATGAAGTCTCTACTGGTCACCAAGTCAGGTGCTTCAGCGCTTAGTCGGAGACCACATTCTCAGACCTCCTCCTCGCTCGGAGGTGGTATTCCGTGCGAAAGAGCAGAGTCCTGCATTCCACAAAGTGTCCAACTGCGCGGCCTATTAGCGGACCTAACCTGGGACACGTATAAGGAAAACGACGGCAGTAGAGATGGACGTTAAATCGGAGAGGGCGAGCGTGACTTACAGGACGTAGGATGTAGAGTCGCATCTTGACTCGCCTTAGTCTTACCGTTGTACTTGCCATACTCACGAAGCCTGTCCTTCTCATTGTGTACACCTCCTTGGTAGCCTCGAGCCGCCGCACGAGCTCGGAGTTCATCCGTCGTCTGTGGCCGTGAATGAGCCATCGGCGCGAAGGCAGGCGTATTACTGGGAGCGATACGCGAACCGAAAGCTCATCCGACAGACAAAGCGTGTCAAGGACGACAGGAATCGGGAGGGGAGGGCGGCAGCAAAGGCGAAGAGGACTGCTCGTCGTGAAGACTGTACCGATGAAGGAATCCTGGGCGACGAAAAGCCATCCTTATACGTCGAAGGTGGATCTGTTCATGACCCTTGGAGTGGAAACCGAAGGGGGAAGGAAATCGCAATGGCGCCTCACTTACAGAACCCTGGAAAGAGACACACTAATCAACCTTCGACGCGGAGTCCCTGTCTGGTGCAGGAACCGAAATTCATTTCCGAAGAGAGCCGGAGGATGGTGCACGAGGTAAGTGAAACTTGAGAAAGTGAGTGAGATATGAGCGGTGTTTAGAGGAGCGAACATTGAGTGAGGGGCCTGGTGAGCTAGCCGTTGATTTACTATCTTCAGCCGCCAAGAGTATGCTCGCCTGACTGAGGTCACGTGCTATCTATGTGTGTCTGGGTGTTTGTGACAGGCAAGCGCTCACACAACGTCCGTTTCGTCAGATTTTGCGCAGCCAATGCTAAGTCGGACACCCATCTAATGACCCACCCCCCTAATGACCCGGCTTTTACTATATAAAACGCGTAAATAGTACCCCTATAAACTCTATAGATTTTATAGTTATTAAAGTCTAGTTTAAAGTTTGTCCGGGGGACAAGGTTTAGGATCTATTATGGAAGTAGCTAAAGACCGTAGAAAGAAGGAGTAGAATATATAGTCGCTTCCTATCTTATT